TTAGAGTCCTTTTCTTTCTCCCAATTTTTTTTTTTTTTTTTTTTTTGAGACAGAGTCTCACTCTTTTGCCCGGGCTAGAGTGAGTGCCGTGGCGTCAGCCTAGCTCACAGCAACCTCACACTCCTGGGCTCAAGCGATCCTTCTGCCTCAGCCTCCCGAGTAACTGGGACTACAGGCATGCACCACCATGCCCGGCTAATTTTTTCTATATATTTTTAGTTGTCCAATTAATTTCTTTTTATTTTTAGTAGAGACGGGGTCTTGCTCTTGCTCAGGCTGGTTTCGAACTCCTGAGCTCAAACAATCCGCCCACCTTGGCCTCCCAGAGAGCTAGGAATACAGGCGTGAGCCACCACGCCTGGCCCTCTCCCAATTTTTAACCAACTGTTCAAATGTTTTTTTTCCCACTGAGATGTAAGGCTTATTTTATCCTTAAATGCTCATACTGTATAATTGGGTCTACTTCTGTCTAGCTAGTCTGTTAAATTGATGTATAAGCTATATAATGTTTTGCTATTTGCCAAGGCTAATAATCCTCCCAATTAAGCTCTGCCTTCAAAATTTTCTTTGCCATTTTCCCCATTTATTCTTCCAGATGAATTTTCAAATAATGATATCCAGTTCTAAAAAGACTCTATTGAATTACAGTGTGATTCACTGTAATCACACAAAGCCAAAAAATAAATCAAGGAAGAATTGACATCTTTACAATTTTAATTTCCCCATCCAGAAAATAATTTTCTTCATTAAGTTTCCCCATACTTAACAACAACTATGAGAAATTTCTTCGTATATCTGGTCATTTTCTTCACATAGATCACCGACACTTCAAATAAAGCTTATTCCCAGGTACTTTCTATTTGTCATTATTTTTTATGTTGTTTTGTAATTGCGACATTGCTGGTGTGTGTAAGGAAACTCACTGCTTGACAAGACAGTCCACTCCACTCTAATTGTCAATGCATCCTTTTGTTTCTTAGCTGTCTCCCTGTAACCACCACCCACAGATCTAGATTCTGTCCTCTGGAGCTAGATGGAGCAGAACTGCCACTACTTCTCCCAAGGACAGACTTTCATCTCTTTGGAGATTGCTATCATGTTTCCCATCGGCATTCTTTTGTCCTGGCTAAAGAGCCCCAAATGATAAAATGAAAACAGCATTTGGGGAAGATTCAAATGGCAGTGGTGGGGGGGTGGGTTTGGGGCAGGTAAGAGATTAGAGGCAGGGATCAGCAAGGACTGCCTCAGTGGTAACCCAGATTCAAGAGATGGGTTAAGTTTAGGCTGTGAACGTGGGCAGGGGCATGTCTGAGAGACATTTCAAAGGAGGAAACATTAGGATATGGTGACAAATTGGATGTAAGGGATAAAGGAATGGAAAGAGGAGTCACAGGTGACTTGAAAATCTCTAGCCTGAATCACTGAAGGTTTGGTTATGCTTCCACTAAGACAAAGTGCAAGAGGTTGAAAAGGGGAGACGTTTGAAAGGAAGTCAATTTTGGACCTCCTGACCCTGAGATTGCAATACGGCCAAGGGAAGGGGTTTGTCCTATAGACCAGTGTTCTTCACATGTTTTCCCACAGTAAGAAATATATTTTACATAGCAGGCCAGTTCAAACACAAGCACAGACATAGAGATATAAAACAGACATAAAAGGGTCACAGAACTCCTGCAGACATATGCAAGTTTGGGCCTGGAATCCTAGTGGGAGGCAGGAAAGGGCTGGGTGTGTGATCGGCACTGAATTGATAGATGAAGTCATGAGGACTAATGACTTCCTTTCCCTCAGCCCTCTGAAGTCCTGTGGTCTAAGACCTGGCGATCAACACCTGGTCAGGAAATTAATTATCCTGCCACCATCTACCTTCAATCCCGTGTCCCAGAGGGCTCCAGGGGAAAAGAGATTCCAACAGAAAGGCCACACACATCTTAGAGTTCAAAGTAGGTCTCACTGCCAATCTACAGAGCGTGCTGTGCTAGAAAGTACTGGCTTTTAAAAAACATCTCCTTTATCCTCAGCCTGGATAAGATTTTTCCTTAGAGAAAGAGGGACTAGACAGAATATTTAGGTCTCCAACTTTCAAGTTTCAAGGCCATGGCACTTAGAATTGGGACAGGGAAAATAGGAAATAATTTCTCCTTGCAAAGCTAGAGTCCTAAATCGATGCAAGGAAAAGAGGCCAAGGGCCCTAAGCTAACATCTGCTGTTGGGTCAGAGCCTGAGCTCCGCAAGGCCTGGCTCTGAGGAAGGAGGGAGCCCAGGAGGTTGTTAGAGGCCCCGCAGAAAACAGCATCACATACTGAAGAGCAGGTTAAAGAGGAAACACTGCCTTTTCAACCCAAAGGACAATACCCTCCTCGGTCAAATTAAGTTACTTTAACCTGTGTCATGTCAGAGCATCTTTCCAAAGTGGAACATTCCATAGCGAAAGGTACTTTAAAATAGAGAAGAAAATGTGCCAACCAATGTTTGGCCTCAGAAACTTACTTTTATAAAAGTTCCAAAGCACCATTTGGTTGAAATATCATGTTACTGCCAGGCTTTTTTTCTGTTCAGGGGAAGGAACAAAGGAAAAGGGAGATGACAGGGCAGTTGTTCGGAAGGCGAAGTGTGCTCCCGCGAGCTGCTTTTCCCACGTCGGGGCTGACGCTCCAGGTTTACAGGAGGCAGCTGATGACGGATGCATGTCTGGGCAGCTCTTAGCCCAGCTCAAAGAAACAAGCCTTCATGGCAAAGGTCCCAGGGAGTTAGACTCCATCCTCTCTCTGCAAAATAGTAAAGCAGCATGGAGGAGGTGGCTTAAAAATGACAAAACACAGGCAAGAAACAGGCCATTGAAGCCAGGAGCAGCTTACACATCACACGCTTTCGCAGGCCCTGAGCTCTACCTCCTTCTCCTCGGGTCCCCTGTTCCCCGTCTCTAATTGAAACTATCTTTCCCTGACTACTTTCCCTCCCACAGAACCTCCTTGTCCCCTGCGCGTGGCCCTGCTCCTGTTGGCAGTAGTGCAACTCAACTCTGGGAAATACACACCAGAGGCACTTTTCTGTCCAAGGAATCTCTTTGAGCTCTAGTTCTAGTCTCCGGAAGGCCTCCAGGCCACTACATTATCTCCACCCCAAATCTGTGCTCCTCCCCCCAAGCGCAGGAGGTCCAGTTGGAAAGCCTCCCATTCCTGTACCGCAGCACACTCACTCCTGTACTCCTCCAGCCGTGCGAGTCTTCTTGGGACCTCAACTCCACCCTGCTTCCGCCCTGTTAATATTCTGAGAACAGGCACAGTCTGGATATACCCACGCCAAGCAAGACTGCCAGAGAAAAGAAGAGAACCACGGGTGTCAGAAGACAAATCCAGGTTTAGGATGCAAGGAAGTTTCCAACGCATTTTGTAGCCTGAGGTGTGAATTGGCTGAGAAGCAGGAGAAGGGAGAAGAAAAGTAGTAAGAGAAAAATTTACACTCTTTCAATTGAAGGAGAGTAAGGGGAGCTGGAAAGGAAACAAGGCCAGGGATGAGGGAGGGGTGTGTTTCTAGTTTCTTTGGCCCAGAGAAGATTCCTGTGAATTCAGCTATGTCCCCATTTGGCTCTGCAGTCAACTGCCTCTTGGCAGAAAGAAAAAAAAAAAAATCATGGGACTAACTGACGCGCAGAGATAGCCAGAAACGAAACCCTTAACCAGCTGCAGTCAGCATTTCCAGAGTGCTTTCCATTTCCGCAAAGGACATGGGGCTGCTTACCAACCTCGAGTGCTGATTGGCGTATCTCTGCGTAATCCCAGGACCTCTGAGCAGCTCTTTTCCAAATGAGGAGGACACAAAGCGGCCCAGCTTAGAGATTCCCACAAGGCCACCCCCAGAGAGAGTCGAAGCTAACATTAGGGAATTAGGGGCTACACCCTACAGTCAGGACCCAGACCATGGAGCTGAGCTGCTTCTAATGCCTCTAAATGCCACCAAGTCCTCATATCATAGTGTTTGGCACGTTTGGACCCTACCTCCCAGATGTGGACAACGGCATGTCGATTCAAGAGGCACTAATATTATATCCTTTCATCCTCCCCAAAAAGTGAAAGGAAACCAGGCCAGGAGGTCAAAGAGACAGAGTAACATAATTTATTAAATTCACCATACAAAGAATATGCCACAGAAAAAGATACCAGAACTGGAAAGGACACAGAGTCTGACCCCCTCATTTCACAAATGAGGGAGCTACCTCAAGTCCCAGAACACCATATGGACAAGCCGGAATGCGAGCCTGGCCCTGTTACACAGAAACACACAGACTTAAGGCTTCTGGTTCTGAGCCAAGTAGAGCCTAAAGACTTAATCTATATTTAGTTTTAATTTTTCTATTTCTTCTAGCACCACTCTGACGCTTATCTACTTCTTGAGGCTGGGGGAAAAGCACTAAAGAAAAAGACAAGCTGCAGGGTCATTCAGAGCCAGGATAAAAGACCAATGATGGAGCAGAGGGGTTTAGAGGGGTCAGGGGAAGAACAGCTCCTCGCCCTAGAAGAGTCCTGATTGCCCCTTGCCCCCAAACAACGCACTCTCAGACCCCAACGCCTCAGGGAAAGTATACTTGCATTCCTGAGGTGTAGACCAAGTTCGGAGGAGGAAGGGAAAAGAAACAGTTAGAGGAAAGGGAAAGATTTATAACAATTTCATTCTGGGACAGATGTGGTGGCTCACACCTGTAAATCTAGCACTTTGGGAGGCCGAGGCAGGAGGATTGCTTGAGGCCAGGAGTTTCAGACCATCCTGGGCACATAGTGAGACTCCATCTCTACAAAAAAAAATTTTTTTTAAATTAGCCAGATGCAGTGGCAGGAGGATGGCTTGAACCCAAGAGTCTTAAGTTGTAGTGAGCTATAATGACACCACGGCACTCTAGCCTGGGAGACAGAGCAAGACTCTGTCTCAAAAAAAAAAAAGGAAAAAGAAAAAGAAAGAAAAGGGGAAGGATAGAAGGAAGGAAGGAAGGAAGGAAGGGAGAGAAAAATAACAATGTCATTCAGAGATCAACAAGTCCAAAGGGAACACTTTTCTCAGTTTCAAGCAAATACAAACACTGCAAGAGAAGACTGTAGAACTTTGGTATTAAATCAATTATGAGATATAAGCAAAAACACCAATAACTTAGCAAAATAAATACAATGAGGATTTTGCCGGGACTGATGTAACCCAGTGAAAACAGTTTTTAGGCTCTGGGTCAAGAAGACTGAGGTGTGCCTTGTGGTACACCTTAGGGGAAAACCCTAAGAGATTCTGGGAGTTTTCACAGCAGAGAGAAGTCACACATAACTGTCTGTGGCCCTAGAGAATCTTTCTGCAAAAAACTATTCCCTGAATGTACATTCAAAACCTTTTCCCCAGAAAGACAAGGCCATCCAGTCGAAGTTTAGGTTCACTGACTCTGACCCCAGCCCTGCAGTCTGTCTCCAGGAGGCCCAGGTCAGCACGGGCTGAGGGTGGAACAAGTAGAAAAACAAAGTTTGTTGCTAAGAACTGAGCTGTGTTTACAGAAGAACTTCATTCCCCAGGACATTCTCCAATCACTCTGGACATCTACACCTCCATCCTCGAGGGCTGAGGCACATCTCGTCACCTCTCCCGACCAGATGGAGGCCTGGCTTCTAGGGCAGTTGGACTTCAGTCTACCACAGAAGGGAGCCTCTCTACAGAGAAAAACAGTAACTATAGGAATAAGGATACTGCCCCGGCTCCTGCCGGCAGGATAACATCTTCCAAAGGGCTGCAGTGTCCAGAGGAGGCTCTCATGCTCTGTCTGCCCAGCACACAGAGGAGAGGAGCTTGGGAATGGTGGGACATGTGAGCCCAAGCCCTAGGTGCAGCCAGGGAACAGTCAGGAAGTCAGAGTCCGTGCTAACAGCCAACAGGGGTGGTGGGCTTCTCCGTAGGCAGGAGGCAGCAGCAACAGCAGCATCCGTCTCCCGGCAGCTCATGTTTCTACCACTCGGATGAGAGGCATGGGCTTCGGGCTGGGGGGCTTGGATATCCTAACACTGAAAAGAAAGTTGGAAATGCTGAGCTGTGTTGGAAACACCTGTGTTGTTGCCCACCCTCCACATGTGCCTCTGGAATCTCACACTTCAGTGCTGGCTGAACTCGGGGTTCCAAATGCTTTGAAACAGTAACTGTCAGTGACATCTAAGAGAAGATGTGGGGCACGATACATTTGCCTGGAGGCAGGGTTGATGCAAAGAGAGGGGAAGTTCAGCAACTGCGAAGTGGATATAGCTGTGATTCTTGACTTTTTTCAAGGTATTAGGCCCTCCTGTGAATCTCTTGAAAGCAAAGACCCTGTCCCTAGGAATATGCAACTATTACCAATACATTATGCATACCATTTCAGAGGGTTCGCGTACATCTAGAAGCCATTCATGGACCTCCTTGGGCTTGTGATATCAGGCTCTACTAACTAGGTTAGAAAATGGTTCTGGTGGAGAATGGGTCAGATTAGAGACTGAGGGGAAAAAGCTGGACTTAAAAGAGCCTTGTCCTTGCTTTAGCACTAAAGGTTTCACATGGCTCTCTCCTTCCCACTTCCCTTCCTACCCGGGCCCGTTCTATCTATATGCGTTTACTCACGTGCCCGGGTTCTCTGTCTTGGCCCGGGCCTGGGTGCTGAAGTTGCCATAACTGATTTGTTTTTCTATCAGGTGTTCCATCCGGTCGTGCATCTCCAAATTCTGTAATACAAGCTATGGGGTTAGAATTGGCCTTTTTCTGGCACATTCTGGTCTCTCCACCTCTGTGTTTGTGCTGCTGTTGCCCCATCCCCACCACGCAGATGCCCACTCACCTCGTCCTCACTACTACAGATTGCTCTCTTCCTCCAATACCGGCCCCTCAACAACTCTGCGCAACACTGACCATTTCCTGTATATCCTCTACATACATGTCTTGTATACGATTTCTTGTCGTCAATTGAGATATTCCCTTGCCTTCGTCCATACGCTATTCTATAAAGCATTCTTTGGTCTTTTTAAAAAAATGCATATTATCTCTAACTCTAGACTGCAAACTCCCTAAAGATAAACAACCCTTTCTCCCATTTATCTCCTCCACACAAGGAATCTTCACACAGTGGCTACAAAGTGATCTTCAGGTAGTTAACAGACAGGAAGGGCTTGGTAACAACGTGGAAACTAGACTGGGAAGACAGCTAATCAAGCCCATCCTCTTAGCCATGGAAAAGACTCCAACTACAGAACGCCTCCTCCTCCTTCGAAGCCTGGCTGCCACTGTCAGCTCCTCTGCAAAGCCCACAGGGTCAGAATGAAGGGTTCACATCCATGTGGCCATGGCATGCGGCCTGGACCGTGCTATGTCCCTGGAGGGCAGAGGCAGGTTTCACCATAGTTAGCAACTCCCTGGAGGTTCTCAGAAAACGTTTACTCAACTGAACTGAAGATCCACCTACCATCCCAGATACTCCCTTCAGAGCAGCAGCTAGATCCGGCCAAGCCCCCTCTATAACCTCTCCCTCCCTTATGTCCATCTTGTCTTCACGAGCCCCATCCCCCTGCCAGGGTTGTCCAGCACACACACCTCCGCCTCCAGATAGGCGACTTTCTCCTTGAGCTCCTGGATGGTGGCGTCCTTTGACTGGATCACAGCTTTTGAATTCTGGAGCTGCAAAGATGCAGGAGACACTGGAGCTCATTATGCAATGACTCATGACAATCGCCAAACTTCGCCCCACTGCTGGGGAAGCTAGCAGAGATGAAAGGCAGAGCTCTGCAACTCTCACATGACTTAATTGGCTTTTCTACAAAGCTTCATTTCAGTCAATATTAATTAAACTCTTGATTATCCCAGGGGTGAGAGTGAGGGATATATGAG